GACCACCTGTCACTAAGAGCATTGTGGAGGTCAGCTGTGGATATCACCACAGGGTGACACTGGCTCTTGTTCTGTGTTAATGGCCTGGGGTATTAGAGTATCTCTATTACGAGGGATACGACGAAGCCTCTCGGCAAATGTGGGTGCCATCCCCTTTAGTAGCTAAATGGTACCACAGCCGAAATTCCTGAACTATAACAGAAACCGTGGGAAACTGTTTCAGACTTGGACTAGTGGAGAAGCTAAGAAAAATAGTTTATAGTGCAGATGTTTCAGCAGTTTACTGCTCATGAATGCCTGAATGGACAGTAAAACGATTAATATTGCTGATACAGAAATATTACTTTTTGGGAGTTAAAGTTGTTTTCATGAAATCTCTAGATGGGTAGTGCAGCTTTGTAAAAGCTGCTGTTCCAGATGTTCTGCAGTTTGAGGAAGAAATTGCTGAACTGATTACTTGCAGTTTCCATGATGAACAATTCTCCATAACCATAACTGCTTCAAGGACTCATTAAAAATTGTTCCTGGAGTACCATATTTGGCCGTTAGGCTGAGCCATCATGAATCAGTTCAGTCTTACCATACATCTTTTTTGATAGGAAAAGAAGAAATAATTAATCTGATTAATTTTTTTTTTCAAACCTTACTATGATCAGGAAGAGTTCAAAATGCACTCTCCTGGTGTGATTCGGGAGCAAAGAGCACTAAAAGTGGCGGAAGAAGGGGTCAGGTCTGTGCCTCACAAGTACTCTTTCTTGGCTGGTGCCTCAAAATCTCATGAGTGTTTTGGCAGATCTATTCTGCAGTCCTTTTAATGAGGGCTGGTAGCACCTACTCATGATTGATTATGAATTCATTGCATCTTAGACATCAGAAATTAAATCCACACGGAAGAAAGGGCAGCTATTCAAAGACACCACATGTTCATTGTGTTCTGAGGTGTAAGTTTCACTAGTTACATAGTAAATTATCCACTGATGTGGACAAAGCAGGGTATTGGCAATGAAAGGGAGAAGCAGCAACTGATGAGAGTTCCTTTTTCTTTCCAGGAGCTTATTCAAGAACAAGTTGAGGTGAGTCACTGCCTGTTTCTAAAGCTGAGTATAATATGCAAAACTTACTGCATGAACCAAAAGGAGTAAGTGTGTTAAACCTCAAATGAGAGAGGTGGAGTAGTTAATCCACTAGCTTTTCCTCATTTTTAGTTTCTTTTGTGATACAGTTCATCCTTTTTATCATATTAAGTGAAAAGTAAGATGATGTTCCCTTACTCCTTTTAGCTAGTGCAGACCACAGGAGGAGGAGCACGAGGGACACTGCCTCTGACGTTTCTGAAGGTGTTAGCTTCCCAGGCCTGTCATGGTAGGGAGACCGTGCTTGGTTTGCCTTTCATTCTTTCTTTTACCTTTTTTTTTTTTCTTTTTTTTTTTTTTCCTTAAACCTTTCTGTCTCAACACATCTTCCCTGGGGCAGTGATTTCAGAATGTGTTTGCAAGAATTCCAAGATTAAAGGTCAGGTGTTTCATAGGGATGAGGAGATAAGTTTTTTTTCACAGCCAGCACTATGAGGGAGAAGCAATACTGCCCTGATGTATACATGTATAGGTCTAACATAATTCCCCATCCTCACACAGAATACAGTTCTGAGATGCACTCATCTGTGTCAGCTCTTAACCATTCAAATAACAGCTCTGTGAATGGGCAAGCAGGTGTGGGAATCTCATGGAGAGCAAGCAGGAAAGACTTAAGCAGTCTTCCCAAAAAGCATCTTTTATTTCATGTAAGCATCAAAAGTGCTAGTTTAAGTGTGCCTGTGACCTTTCAAGTATTTTTGGAAGGAGTGCAGTAGGAATTTGGATTTATATGATCTGCATTCTTCAAATGGCAGACAATATATAGATTATTATTTTTTTATTTCTAAAAAAGTCCCATGGCTGAAAGGTAGATTGCAGATGGTCATGTGCATCTGTGAAGGCTAAAGATTGCAAGCACCTCTAAAATGACCCTTTAATGTTCTGCTTGGACTTCCTCTAGATGCTATTAAGTGCTCACTTGGGAGCAGGGACTTAACAGCAGAGCTGGAGTTTGGTTTTGGAACTGCCGCCTGTCAGTGGCAGGCACACACAGAGCTGACAAAGCCTGGGGAACTGCTCTTAGCTGTCGTCTTGGTTTAATACTTTTTGATTTGTGAACTGGCTGCATCTTCGGCTGTCACACACACACACAGCCCATTTTCCTCTTGCAACATCGTCTGAAAAGCCAAAACCAAATCGTCCGACCAGACTTGGGTTAGGTGAAAGCTTATGCCATGGAAAGGTGATCCTTATGGAGCAGGATGGTGAAGTGAGCCATGCCCCAACTGTGCCATACTGCAGCCTTTGGGCTGCCTTTGCAACCTCCCGGCTGATCTTTGGGACCTGCCTTGTTTTCTGTGAAAACCACAGCTGTGGAGGGAAGTCTGCTGGGTGATTTGAATTTTCTTTGGCAGCATGTGCAAGATTTTTTTTTTTTTTTCAGGAGCTATTAAGTTTAATGAGTGTTTGACTTTGGAGGACAGCTGCAGGCTTATCGAAGCTTTGTCATCTTGCCAGCTGCCCTTCCAGTGTGCTCATGGAAGACCTTCCATGATGCCTCTTGCAGATATAGACCACCTACAGCAGGAACAGCAGGTACTGTGTGGGACAGAGATACACCTCTGATAATGCACACTCTGGATCATGGAGGGCATGTCATGTATGTTTATGTTAGAACTAGAATGGGACAGTTTCAAACCATCACCACTGGCTGTATCTTACTTGAATTTTTACATAGCTGTTACCAATAAAATAAAACTTTAGAATGTTAAATCTGTGCAAGCACTTCAGCAAGGATCTTACCATGTTTCATTGGAATGGTCACATTGACTTGCATGGTGTCCCCTGGTTCTTAGAGTTAAGTATGTATTTGAAGTGTTTGCAGTTTTTAAGTGTAAAACTTGGAAAACAAATTCTGATACTGTACAAGCGACAAAGATGCTAATTAAATAAATGCTCACTTCCCTAAAGTTTAAGATGCTTTGAAATAGGAAAGAAAACCAAAGAAACAGTAATGTTTAAAGGAAAAAAAAAAAAAGATTACTCCTTCCCTTTTGCTGTTATTCTGCTATATATTTATGAAATCGTATTCTATTGAAAGCCACTTGAGACTTTGAATTAGATACCACAAAAATGGAGATGGCTGCATTAGGGCAAAGAGTGTGCAGGCATTGAAGCTCATTTACTTAATTATGATTTAATGCTTAACTTTTCTCCTTCCAGCCTAAACCTAATTTAGCTAGACTGCGGAAGATGGCACGAGCTTGGCACCTATTTGGAAAAAAGAGATCCTAATCCAAAAAAGTTGGGACTGTAAGCTGCAGCTGATAGAAGCGTTGGTATGATTCAGGTGCCTCCGCTGGACAATACCCTGTGTAGAGCCAAGTGTCTGAGCCACTGCAGTCACCAAAGTTCTGCTCTGAGTACTGACCTAAGAAGCAGAGACCAGCCTGGAGAACACAGCAGGAGCCCACCCTTGTAGCCTGGAGAAGTATCTTCAACATCAAGGAACTGCATTGTAAGCCTCAGCCTTATGTCAGTGCTTGACTATCAGAGGGAAGAAGCTGCAGCCACTCACAGTTACTAAGTGCTTTTTCTATGCAAGCACAGCGTGATCCTGCATAATAGAGAGGAGACTTTTAATTAATGTATTTTGTAGTGGTTTGAAAAAGGGGGGGGGAGAGGGTATTTATTAATAAAATTAACACTAAACTCTTTCCTTGGGCTTGTGGCAGTGGCTGAAATAAGAATATAGGCCAACGCAGCATCAAAAATATTTTTATTTAACTAGGCAATGAATGGCACACCCAGCTGCCTTCTCCAGCTCCCTGCCATTTGTATTAAGTGAGAGATTTCAAAATCCCAGCATAACCCCCTGTTCTCACGGTACAGAAACTTACCCCCACAGAAAAAATCAATAGCCCACAGCATATTTTACAACAGGCAGACTTTTTTTTTTAGAGTTTCCAGTTCTATTTTGTGTCCAATCTAAGGCAGAAGAGTAGATTTTATTTCAGAACCATAAAAGATGATGATGTCTTTATTTAATGATGGACATCCAACTGAAAACCAAATCTGAGAGATATTGACATCTGCTGAATCAAAAGCAAAACAAGGAGGGGAAACTACTTTCATCTCATGCCTTAACCGTGGTGTAATGTATCACCAGACATTGATAAAAGGGACGAAGGACAAGTGATCTGACCAGTGTGCAAGAGCCTGAGATTTCAAAGACCCTCCATGCTGCCCCTCACAAGTGAGACAGGATGTCCACTCAAGAATAATCACAGTCATTTAGTACAGAAGACAGACCCTACACTACAATAAGCCAAGCAAGAGCCTGAGCTCTGCCTTTTGGCACAGAGGTGAAAAAGCTGGTGGATGGGACTTCTGAAGCCTTTCATCAAGAAGGGAATTTCCATTCCAGTGTTGTACAAAAAGCTGGTTTGTATCTCAGCAATTCACCAAAAATTGTCAGAAAATTGTACCAGAAAAATCCATTTTGAAGACAATTGCCAATGGATCCCCATCACATTCATATGTGAAAGCAGACCTTGAACCCTGCCCCTGCCTCATGGCTGCAGGCAACCGCCTACACTGGTAAAACTCCTGCTAATTAAAGGAACAAATTAACTGCATACGGAAAGCGTGCTTCACACGGAGATCACTGCTAACAGCCTTTATTGCAGCATATTTTAAAGTGACAGCTTAGCTGCCCCCCAGAGTTACACATATGCCCTGCTGTTTCCTACTCAGAGCGGGTGTAACAGCTCCACGTGGCTTGTACCTCGGCACAGAGATCAGAACCTGCACAAGAGCGCTGTCTTTCGGGCAGGAAGGACGTCGCCGAGCAAACTCCCTGCTCACTTCCCACAGCAGCTCCTCCTGCAGCGTGGAGGAGCCCGGAGCGCGCCGTGCCTCAGCAGGTTAGAGCTCGTAGTCGTCGGGGTGGTAGAGCTCGCTCATGAGGCGGTAGATGTAGGAAGGCGCGTTCCCCCCGATGTTGGAAATGAAGAGAGTGATGAGCTCGGGCGGGACGTAGTCAAACACCGGGCAGTGAATGTTTATCTTCGCCAGGATCTCCCCTGCAAAGCGAACAGCAGCATTACTAGACAAAGCAACTCAAAGTACATTTAGCCTTCTGCACATCTTCCTGAGCCCCTGAAGAAGCTGGCTATGTACATGCCACCCAGAAGTCAGTACTGGGACATCCTGAATGCTTTCCAACTTCCTCACTGATGCCATTGAATTACAAGTATACAGCAATCTCGGGTCAATGGCAGCATTCTCTTTTGGTAGTTTTTACTGCGAAAAACCTCAGATCCCCTCTGACGTAGATTTACTAATTGCAAAAATCCCTGTTAGTATGTAATTAGAATCCTGATGCTGCCCAAGTTGCTATGTAAAGACAACCTCAGAAGGCCAAAAAAACAAAAGTCTGTGCCAAACCAAATATCTTCATTTGAAAAGTCTTTGTCACACAGAAGCAAGGTTTTGAAAGAGACTTTGCTATCTAAAAATGGGCCTAGGAGCTGATGCCCTTCTAAAGATGGCGCTTGTACAGGAAGCCCATTGCAGAGATAATGGGTCTCAACAAGTAGATCACATCATAAAATTTCAAAAAGTTAATGTGTTGTAGGAAAGAAAGGAAGCTGCCCTCAGCTGGGTCCCACAGGAAACTGCCAGCTGCCTGGCACATTATCACAATCCCGTAACGGAACACTTGACTCTTTCAGAGCAGAAGCAAGAGTGAAAATATGGTGTCCAAATGAAATCCATTTTCTGTACTTGAAGAGAAAGTTAAATATAAAACAGGATAGTTCACAGCACTTTTTTTCTGCTTAAGACAAGAGGAAAGGATTTTCTGTCTTGGGTTACATGACAGTCTTGTGTTTTAAAGTTTATATGAGCTATTAAGAAAGTTTTAAATTATAGCCTGAACCAACTTGTCCAGCCTGTATAAAGAAGAACCAGTACCTTCTGTGAATGGCAGCACTTCCTGTGGTGACACAAACTTGTGGAATGAATCTTCTTCATTAGGGAACTGAATGAGAAAGTACAGGAGAGGTCAGGAAATGTGAGAGTGCCTCATTATCCTAGCAAAACCAGATCCTGGGCACTGGAACCAAAGCAGAGGAAGATGACCCGCCAGGTGATACAACATCTGTTCAATACTGCTTGTGCCTAGAACCCCTGTAACACCTCCAGGTGAAAGATTTTTTTCTCAGAGCTTTTAGAGACTATGACCTGGCTGCCCTTCTGCAAAGCCTAGGGAAGTGGAGCAGAGCAGTGACTTCCTCAGTCTGCAACTTCATCTGAATACTGAAACATTATCGAGTGTAAGAAACCGTTTAGAGCATCTCCATCTCCCTCCTCTGTCAATACACAGGGTCTTTCAACACTAAGGATATAAACTGAAATCTGCTGTGGTTGAAGAAAAATTGAGTATGTGATGTCAGTCTCTAGTAGGCAGCGTTCTACATCTTTATAGGCAATGCACTACTTGTGCAGCATGTGCGGCAGAGGAGGGTGCTTCAAGGAGATGCCAAGTTGTGCCAGCTCTGGGCGAGGACCTCGTATCTGAAGTGGCAGCGCTAGGTGGGGCAGATGGCGTTCACCAGCCTGGCCCTGGGACAGGCGGCGCTCTCCACCCAGAGCTCCCCCAAGCACCAAGTCACCCCCATCCCCATGCAGAGCAGCTGCTGCACTTACCTGTGGTGAAAGCTTAAACATGGGGGCACACACGATGAGCGGTGTGGAGTGGTGCTTAGCTGCCAGTGCCAGAGTGTGAGTCCCACTCACAGCAATCAGGGCGCCGTTGGCCAGGATCGTCTTTGTACCAATAATGACCTTAAAAGGCAAATCAGCATTACATTGCACGTTCCACAGCAAAGTGGGGAAGGAACACATCCTGGCTCAGACCCTGCTGGCTGAGCTGAAGGAGTTTATCAGAACAGCCAGCCAAAGCGTAGAGTACAGGGCAGCTGGATGCCTCATCTGTGTCAGCTGGCACTGGCTTTGCACCGACACGTTCCTCTCTAACAAGAGCATGACTCCAGCACAGTGAGGCCTGCACAGAGAACTTCAGAGGACAAGTGTATGTTCTACTGCAAGGAACACCAAGCAGAAGCTGGGCTGTGTTCTCTGTTGTCCTGCAAGCCTGCAAAGTAAGATTTCTGTGAGTAACTAGACTGCTGGCTGCAACAATTCCCGCCTGTAAAATGGCAATAATGTAAAGCAGCTTAGACTATATAAATACAAAGTAGCATGACTGGATCTTATTATGTTACAAGTACTTTTTTTAATTTGGGGTGCCAAGTTTTCATCTCTAAGAGCACAGAACAGGTCTGTTCAAGAAGACATAGAACAAGTTTGTTCAAGAAGACACACCTTGGTGATTCCCTTCACCACCCATCCAGGGAGTTTCTCCCCTTTGGAAATGCTGCTTTTTGTTCTATCCTCTTTAAAAAGTGAGGTTAATCCTTGGAGGCTCTCCTGGCTTGGTTTCTCGTAACTGCTCTGCCTGTTAGCCACTAAGGCAGAAAAACCCGTCACTGTGCAGTTAGTCATCTTATTAACTTGGGGCTCCACCCCAGCTTTTTAGCCTTCAGTGAAGAAACATCCATCCCTGCTGGAACCTGCAGGTAGTTTGGGAGGCTTAAGCACCCAGCCTGCCATGAAGACTCTCCTCCAGTGGAGCCCTCCTTACCTTGTTGACTCGAGACATGACAGCAAAAATAGCTGCATCGCTCATGACAGTAGTTTCAATGCTCTCTTTAGACAGTCGGACAGCCATTTCGTGACCCTGAAAGGAGGGAGAATCCAACTGGTCCCCTGGGACGTGTTCCTGCCGCGCAGCTGCAGAGGCGTTAGCACTCAAAAGCGCCAAGTGGCGGAGCACAGGTAGAGCCCTCCGCCCGAGGGACGCGGGGCAGGACTCGGGGCCGCCTTCGCTCTCCCCCTGCGGAGCAGCTCCCGTGCCGTGAGGAGAGCTCAGCGGGAGCGTGCGGGGCAGCGCGGCACGGGGCTCACCTGGCAGAAGGGCGCGCACTCTGCCACGATGACCTGGAACTTCCTCTTGCGGGCAGCCTCCTTCAGGAAGGCCTCCACGGTGCGCGAGTAGCCGATGGTCATGATCACCTCGTTGGAGTGGATGTGCTCCAGCGCCTGCATAGCGATGTTCTCCGTGGTGCCCTCTGTAACAGAAGGAAGCTGCGGGTGGTAGAGCAGATGGGAAAAGCCACGCTTCCCAGGACACCAGGAGCACAGGCAAACAGCCCCCTACGCTGTTCCCTCCACACCGTTCCACCCATCTCTGTCTGACCCAAAGAGGACTTGGACTAAGTCCTAGGAGCAGGTCTAAGTCCTTGCTGTTTTCTTTCCAACTCAGAGGAGGGGAAAGCATTAGTCCCATGCCATAAGAAGCTCCACTCAGGAGCAGTTCAGACTCATCCATACCTAGCTCTATGAGCAGCTCGTTAATAGCTTCAATAACGTTAGCTCTGAGAGGAGGATAAGGGGTATTGAAATCCTCGCTCAGTCCTCCAGAAGTCAGGAGTTTGTGGAGGGATTATCTCCTCACTGCGCCCATGAAGCCTGCGGAGAGAGCAGCCCTTCAGCCTCGGGAGAGCGCGGGGGCACAGCCAGGCTGGGACCGTCCCCGCACGGCGTGCCTGGACACAAACAGAGGGAGGAGAACCGCGTGCAGGAGGCACGGCACGCCGTGCCAGGCCACCGGGCTGTCCCTGGCAGAAGGACACTTGAAGCTCTGCCAGAAAGCACCTTTGTAAGCCATATGCAAATGCCACGGATGCTCCAGCAGGATGGACCCTCCTGCGAGCACAAGGGAAGAAGAGCCTGAGATCAGGGCCCAGGCTGTTCTCACCCAGCATGTTATGCCAAGTGCAGTTTTGTTGGAGGAGACATCACCGGCTACTCTACACCCGACCTCTCCTCCGGCGTTGAACTCACTGGAGGCCTCTGCAGGAGAGGGGGTGGTGGAGGCAGAGGGGCCCCGCTTCGAGCC